TAGTTTTACCTTAACCTCGTTTAGACAGAAACTAACCCTTATCGTTGGTAATTGTGATTTTATTCTCCTTTCCAGTGCTCTTGTCAGCCGCAGACACATTCATGATGCCGTTGGCATCAATGTCAAAGGTCACCTCAATCTGGGGAACACCACGAGGAGCAGGTGGGATGCCCGTCAGCTCAAACTTGCCCAGCAAGTTGTTGTCCTTTGTCATGGCACGCTCACCTTCATAAACCTGCGGAACAGAAGAACAATTTTTTAGAGAAGTTCACGATCACTTTATTCTGTCCGTGCGCAGAGAGCTCTTCGCTCAGACATCCAAGGAAGGGCTGCGCCATCTTTGGCCTTTCGACCTCTGGTGGAAACTACGAATGGCTGGAGTAAACGTCATCACTGCGAGAGCGCACACTGGACTGCGTGAGGAGCCGTACCTGGATGAGCACTCCAGGCTGGTTGTCGGAGTACGTGGTGAAGGTCTGGGTCTGCTTGGTGGGAATGGTGGTGTTACGCTTGATCAGTACGGTCATGACTCCTCCTGCAGTCTCAATGCCCAGAGACAGTGGGGTGACGTCCAGAAGCAGGAGGTCCTGTACGTTCTCAGACTTGTCCCCGCAGAGGATAGCGGCCTGGACAGCTACAAAACAAAGACCACGTTACACATTTGGTCATTCACAGTTCAAGCACAGCATCAGTTCCCCTTTAACCTACCTGCTCCGTAGGCCACAGCTTCATCAGGGTTGATGCTCTTGTTGAGATCCTTCCCGCTGAAGAAGTCCTGGAGCAGTTTGGATCTTGGGGATACGAGTGGAGCCTCCGACCAGCACGATTTCATGGATGGCAGCTTTGTCCATCTTGGCGTCACGGAGGGACTTCTCCACTGGCTCCAGGGTTCCCCTGAAGAGGTCAGCGTTGAGCTCCTCGAAGCGAGCCCTAGTGATGGAGGTGTAGAAGTCCACACCTTCGTACAGGGAGTCAATCTCAATACTGGCCTGGGTGCTTGAAGACAGTGTACGCTTCGCCCTCTCACAGGCTGTACGGAGACGACGCACTGCCCTCTTGTTGTCGCTGATGTCCTTCTTGTGCTTGCGCTTGAACTCTGTAATGAAGTGGTTGACCATGCGGTTGTCGAAGTCTTCCCCTCCGAGGTGAGTGTCTCCAGCAGTGGATTTGACCTCAAAAATGCCATCTTCAATGGTCAAGATTGACACGTCGAAAGTGCCACCACCAAGGTCAAAGATCAGCACGTTCCTCTCAGCGCCCATCTAATACACATAATTATTTGAAAATTAACTTATTAGTCTTTACTGCTTTAGTTAAGCACGAACAGTTAAGAGTTAAACTTGGTAACTACTTAAAGGGTCAGGCATATAATATGGTATCTAGCAGCTACTAAGCAGTCATTGTAATATAATTTTGAGTCTTAAAAAGGTGTAGTTAAATGCTTAACACACACTAGACCATTTAATTTATGCTAGTCAGGACTGTTACCTTCTTGTCCAGGCCATAAGCAATAGCTGCAGCAGTGGGCTCATTGATGATACGAAGGACGTTAAGGCCAGAGATGGTGCCAGCGTCCTTTGTAGCCTGACGCTGGGAGTCATTGAAGTAGGCAGGTACAGTGATTACAGCATTTGAGACATTCTGAAAGGAAAGTCCAAATTAATCAGTGTCAACACCTTCGAAAATGTCATTACGTAACAGTTGCAACTTACTTTTCCGAGGTAGGCTTCAGCAATCTCCTTCATCTTTGTCAGCACCATGGAAGAGATCTCCTCTGGGTAGAAGGATTTCAAGTCTCCTTTGTACTCCACCTGAACTTTAGGGCGGGTGTTGTCGTTTATGACATTAAATGGCCAGTGTTTCATGTCGGACTGAACTACACCATCATCAAATCTTCGGCCAATGAGACGTTTTGCATCTGCAAAAACGACATTTAATTAATACAAATTACCAAACCAAATGTTTTAAAGTGACTAAGGAGATCACTCAGACATCCAAGGAAGAATTAAACCATCTTTGGCAATAAGCCTCCGGTGGAAACTACGAATGGCAATATAAGCTTCATCACAGTGATTTAATGGGTCAAATGAATCAACGGTGCTTACCAAAGACAGTGTTTGTGGGGTTCATAGCAACTTGATTCTTGGCTGCATCTCCGATCAGCCTCTCTGTGTCTGTGAAGGCCACATAGCTGGGTGTGGTCCTGTTGCCCTGGTCGTTGGCGATGATTTCAACTTTGCCATGCTGGAAGACCCCCACGCAGGAGTAGGTAGTCCCCAGATCAATGCCGACTGCTGGTCCCTTTGACATAGTTACTAGGAAAGGGGGGGGGGGGGGGGGGGGGGGGAGGAGCGTGTTAAACTAGACTCATCTCACATGACATTTTATAAACCAGTGTTGTAAGATTTGAATCCAACTTAATAAAACTTGGCCTCCGAGATCGGCACTGCACCTATGCTTTACCCTAAATCCAAGTTTTTTTTTGTTTGTTTTTTAATTGATCATGACTGGATCCTAGTTATTACTGACAAGAGGGTTCCCTTCTAGTTTATATGTAGAGTGACCAGACATCCCCATTTACCCGGGACAGTCCCAGTTTTGGACCCTGCGTCCCCCTGTCCCAGCCAATTTATCCAAAACCATTGGTTTGTCCCAGTTTTAGACAAGAAATGTTCAATTTCATACGTGCCAACAGTAAAGACTCTTGCATTGTCATTTGTTTAGGTAAAATACAGAAAGGTTTATCTTCCCATTTTGACATTTACATCCAAATTTGTATAATTATGCCTTATTTGACACCCATCTTTTGCTACTAAGAATTTACTTTATCATTTATTTATTTTATTTATATTTTTGCTGTTTCTTATTCTATTGTGATATGTGAGCTACTGTGTTCAAATAATTTCATTTGTGGATCAATAGTCTGTCTAAATCTAAAAGTGGCTTAAAACGATCAAAACATAGAAAATGACTATCCTGGCTCACGTGTTTGCCACGAATGGTCCCTGCATGACAATTTTCCTTCATAATGTACTAGTTTCACAATTTTATCATTAACCACCAAAAAAACCGAGGACGTCAGTTTCTTTGGCAATTTTGGTCACCCAATTTATATGGCTAGAAGCTTGATTTCTCCCCTATCAAAGTGGACAAAAAGGAATCAAGGGAAAAAGTGAGTAGCTGATTGAGCCCTCATAAAAGCCATCGAAGAGGCTATAAAAGATAAGATACTTAGATGTAATAACCAAGATACACCAAGTACAAAGAGCCACGAGGAAGTGAACAATGTGTCCAGTGCGCAGCTGCGGCTGATTGTTCCAGAACATTCCGCAGCGACAGAACTCCCCCTCCCCCAACCTGCTGTTAGCTAACACCACATGTACTGCGGCTAAGCATCCCTCTCATGGATCGATCTCACAACATAAACACACACTTGGAGATAAAGGGGAAAAAACCCCAAAAAAACAAACAAAAACGATTTAACCCACAATCTAGAACCACAGATTGACTGAAAGATACGATGGGCTCATGAAACTAACATTTAGCTTCAAAACTAATGAAATTCTTTACACACAAATCAAAAATGTACAGTAATACAAGAGTAACGTTTGTCATAGCCTCACCAAATAATCGTGTTACAGGAGATGAAACTGATGCTGAATCGTGGTGCACAGGGGACGATGTTGTGTCCTTGCCGGTTGGAGAAGGGAAAAGGGAGGTAGGGCGGGCGATGGAGGTTGTATTTATAACCGGCACAGTGACCAATCAGAATCCAGTTTAGTGGATTCTTTCCGCCCAACAGACCAATGGCGATGCTCTTCATTGATGACGTACAACGCCCAAGAGGCACTTCCTGCTGCATGTTCCTGGTTCATTGTGAAATTTTCTAATCGCTGATCGCATGTTTCAGTTTACTGTAAGCAGCTACAGTCTCTTTTGGTTTCCTGGACTGTCACTTATAGTGACCACACGTCTCTTTTTACCCGGACAGTCCCAGTTTTAAACCCTGTGTCCCCTGTCCCAGTGGATTTATGCAAAACAAGTGATTTGCCCCAGTTTTATACAAGAAATGTCCCTGGTGTCCCTATTTTTGACCAATGTGAAACCTGCTAACAGTAAAGAGAGGTATAAATTGTGTAGGTTTTTGTTTAGGTAAAACACAAAGAAAATGGCTATACTGACTCACGTTATCATGAATAAGTCATGAATGGGCCAAGTGCATAACAATTTTCCTTAATGACGCACTCATTTCAGAATTGTATTATTACCAACCACGACCAATCCGCTTTCCCACTTTTTCAGTCATGCCACATGCGTTATATCACGTGATATGTACATAGAAAAGAACATAATATTCTTTTGTGTGTGTGATTTTTGGGTGCACTGTATTCATATCATGGTAGTTACTTATTGCTATATATTGCAGTTTCCTCAGTATCAATAAAATATCAATATATCTATCTATTACCTATTCATTTATTTATTTATTTATTTTAAGTGTTATTGCAGTTATTTATTACCTTAAATTTCCAGAGTTCTTATTGCTATTGCTATATATTGCAATTTTCCTCAGGATCAATAAAGTAGCCTATCCATGGATATCTATTTATCTGTTGCCTATTTATTAAAAAAATAATAATCATCATATGATGTTATTGCAGTTTATGAAACCCATTTCCTTATTACTGAACTGGCATTGAACTTAGACCTATTAACAAACAGAAACAATGACAATGCATATAAGAAAATACAATTTATTTCATCTCATACAATCAATAAACAAAGCATAACCTACTATATACATAATGTACAGTACAGTTACAGTTATTTGTGTTTCTTGTGACTTTTAATATTTTTATACAAGAAAACACACATGACCAAGGAACCTATGAAAGTTTGAAGATTATAGTTCTGTTTCCTTTATAGGTTTCGGCGGTGCCTGTGGAGGCTGTTGTGTTGCAGAGTTCTGTTCATGGCTCATATTCTCTGGAGGTGTCATGGCAGCTGGGTTTGTCACTGAGGTGATCACTGTTGGCTCTTGAACAACGTACTGTGTGAGGCCTGTGTTGAAGAATCCTGTCAAACAAAGATATTGCTCAACCACTGACTCATTTAGAACACTTTCTCTCCTTAATTCTGGTAACTGGGTGTGTTTATTTGCCAGTTATCATGATAAATATGATTATTTTAAATCTTTATGTAACAGAGATAACAGCACAAAGATTCCCTTGTTGAGATTTCTAAACTGGGCTTTGTTATCACAGTAAGCTGCTCCTTAGGCCAGCTACTTTTTTCTGAATTGGCACTTACTATGACAACACACACATTCCTCACATTTATGCTTCACACATGTTCACACAAACCCTGCATATTTAGGGGCTGAGATCCTCTCTCAAACGAAAAACACACAGTTCCACCTTGTGATGTCATGTGGTAATACAGAAGCGCTCCACAGTGTTTTTAAACTCCACAAATTCCACACACCTTCACTAGAATCATTTGGACAATTTCAACCCTTGCCAATCTAGACTGAACTAAAAGAAAAAGGTAGCTGTTAACTTGAAAACTACCGCTTCAAGACATCATAAGGTGGAGCAAACCATTTTGAGCTTTGGAGATGTACACAGACTACTAATAAAGGGTTACTCAAACATGTGAGAATGAAACAAAGCGCAACTCCAGGTATGTTTCCAATGTGGCAACATTATAACATGGGTTAAAACTGACAAGAGTTAATTTTGTGTAATATAGGACATTTAGAACATGAATATACCTTAATACTGCACTGTACTGCACTGGCTTATTCTCACTCTGCCAATAATTAAGTGGAACAGCTGTCACTGGCAGCTGACAACGGCTAAGGACTTCTATTAATGTCATGTGACTCTAAGCTGTGGCTGTTTACAAAGGTGCCTGCCTCATTAAGTATTTATTTATCGCATCATGTGATCTTAAGAGTAAAATAACGTTTAAACCTTAATGGGTGACCAGGTTACTCACCTCTTCTCCTTTGGGTGTTTTTCTCCTCTTGGCTTGATTTTGATTTATTGCTGGCTTCAGATGTGTCCGTGTCATCATTCTCTGTTAAAAATGACAGAAATTTCAACATACAATGTTTTCAGTAATTTCACTTTTTGAACACTATCAGTCAAAAGTGTTGTGTTTTTCTTTATGTCTACTACTTTCTACATTCTACATACAGAAGACATCAAATATATGAAGCAAGATATATGGAATTATATACGTAAACAACACATAAATGACTGTTTTTTATTCAAATTCTCAAAAGCAGACACTCTTTGCCTTATCTTGCTTCATATATTTGATGTATTTGATGTATTATCTAAAATGTAGTAAAAATGAAAAAGAAAAAAATACACTGAATGAGAGCGTGTATCCAAGCTTTTGACTGGTAGTGTAGTAGTGTAGATTTGATGCTAGATTGAGAGATGGTATTTTATGTACCACGTTTCCAGATGAGATGTGCTCTCCTCAGTTTGATGCCAATAAATGTAACGACCACCAAAAGTCCAATCATAAGGCAAGTGATCAGGAAGATGAGAAGAGCCGCATTTCCCTCTTTTCCTTCCTGCTTTTCCCTATCAAAGTCACGCTCTGTCAAAATACATTGTAAATATAATATTAGGCTATACTCATGTTGACACCTGTTTCATTGTATTTTTAGAAGAAAAACTGATTACTCTACCTGTACTGTTATTCGTTGTTTCATTGGAGGAAATGTTCACTGTGAGCCCTTCAAAAACAGAGACAGAATTAGCTTGATGAAGAAAAAACAGACCTTTCAATGTGAATCTGTGACTACTTGTAGTTCCCAATGTACAGCACTAGATGTCAACAAAGAACTTACAATTGCCTGTAGTGTTCAATATTCCGCTTCTTTGAGTGGTTGATTCTACCGTTGAGAATTCTAACAAAGAGAAAATATTCAATTTAATGGCATCACTTGTATTTATTTGTAAATATAAGAAATGTGTAAAGCATTGTAATAGGATTGTGATGGTATTAAAATAGATCTGGATACTAGTAAGGAAAAGACTGGCCAATTTCAATACCAGGACGTTGATAAAACACTCTTTTCAGCATAGAAGTTTCTTTCATATTACGTGGTCTTATAACACTAAAGATCCAGTCCAACGTAAAACTATTCAAGAAAGGACCAACTGCGTCTTATGTGTTTGTTTGTTTGTTTGTTTTGTTTGGGGTTTTTTTGGTACTTTTCGATACTTGTTCAAATGAGTATTTAGTTTCGATACTTGTTTTAATATCGATTTGTAAAGTTTTGATACAATAGTAATACAATAATACAATGTAAAGAAAAAAGCATGATGTCTCTTACAGGCTAGTAATTTCAGTTTAGACCTGTCACCACTATGAAGTTATTATGAGTTAAAATTGAAAACTTGGTGCATGAAGTCTTTCTGAAACGCCTCACACAGGAAACCCTTTATGTGGTGCTATGTATGGTAATGTGTGCTGGTGGTGTGACATTGTTTCTTCATGTCTATATATGGTTATATGGAGCATTTTATGTACTTTCAATTGTATAAAATATATTTACCACTGCTGTTGAATTGAGAAGTGTTCATAGGGAACCCTGTGGTTTCATCGGCATCTGTAAGAACAATAAAGCTGTCATTTAAAAGTGTCAATTAAACTCACTGCCAAAATTAGGGCTGTAATAATCAAATTTTAATCGAGATCAAGAGTTAGAAATTTGTAGTTGTCAATGGTCAGCTTGTTGTTTTTTTTTAATGGAGAGATCTACAGTCAATCCCTTGTCAGTAAGCATGTGATTTGAAGAAGAGTTCAGATTTTAAAGGAGCAAAATGTACAATTTTTAGATTAAATTGCAATAATTAAAAGTCTGTAATGTCAGAAATAAAGGTCAATCAACATGAGGAAAAAATCTTGAGTCATTTTTTGTCTTTTTAACTTTTATCATTAGCATTATTTCTCATAAGAAAGGATGTGAAATGTAAAAAATATTTCTATGTATGCTCACCTGTACTAAACTGTGTAATGTTTCTAGAAAACTCTGAAGTTAGATCCTGTTTTTCTGTTGTAGAGACTGGTTCAGTAGTTTTCTCTTCTGTTGTGGGTAGAGTTGTTTGTTGAGTTGTTGTGTTTTTTGTAGTATTTTTCATTCCTGTATAAGACACACACACACACACACAAAAATCCAATAGTTGTATTATTGATTTTAAGAAAGTACATGAATTTTATTACTAGAACTTTATAAACCTACACTTAGCCCATCCATACAAATTTAAATCTGGATTTTGATACTAAAGAAGAATTGATACGTGCTACCACACAGTAAAAGAAATTGTATATTGTTAGTAATAAAATGAATAAAAGAATGAAAATGAAATAAATAAGTAAGTTAAAGGTATAAAGTGTTAATTTGGTACTTTTGTGAGTAATTTTACAGTAATTTAACATTTATTTGTAAGTAAACTTCAACTAATACACTTCAAGGTCATTTTTAACACATTTATGTAGGATTGACATTATATCATCTGAATAGTGATACCAAGTTAGTCGGAAAATATTAAGATTCCTTTGTAAATATCTCCAAATTTACCTGTACTAAACTGTGGAACAATGGTAGAAAAATCTGACGTAAGCTCCTCTTTTGGTGTTGTGGGGAATTGGACAGCAGTTGGTTCTCTTATAGTTGCTGGAGTTGGTGTTGTTTTTGCTGAGATGGTAGTTTTCGGATGTTGTTTTCTTTCTGTTCAAAAACACAAAATTCCACATTATTTATGCTTTGATACAGAAAATCAAACTGAAAGTGCACCCTATTTTATGACAACGAATTAGGTGATTCACACATCTGTTTTTAGAAATCTCTTGAATTTATAAAAGAGGAAGTAGACCATTAGAAGGGATTTTTAGCTTAGTTTCTTAATCCACCTACGTATGTCATGAGGAAAATATGTGTAATGGTACCAGACTTTTTTGTTTTTGTTATCTTAATTTAGCATTTAACAGTTCCATGTTACGCTATTTTCTGATCTATGTTGTAATGTTGTTTTCTCATCAAAAAAATTTCAGGTGTTGTGTTTTGTTTCAGTCACACATGTTTAACACACAAACCCTGCATATTTAGGATGTGTTTTTCTCTCAAACGGTAACATGCATGTTCATCAGGATCATTTGGATAATTTCAGCCCTGGAATCTCTATCCATCTTTGTTGAACTAAAGGTAAAAGGAAGCTATTAACTTGAAAATGACCTCTACATGACTAGAGAAATTAATAACTAGGAAATTAATAATCTGGTTAATAAACCACAGCACCATAAAAATGGCATTGTAACATGTCTTAAAGCTCAGAAGAGTAAATCTTTGGTAAAACAGGACCTTTAAGTCATTCAGGGTTGTACTTACTGTTTGGTCTAATTTTTACAAAGTCCTGCAGTGTCTTGGAGTGCAAAGCTGGATGCTGAACAATGCATTTTAGAGAGTGGGTCCTTTCTGCTGCCTTAACATACATGGTCTCAATAGCTTCATATTTTTTATCTTCACGGATGGTCTGTGGATGGCCTGTGGAGAAAAAAAATTATTATTAATTAGGTTTTGATATATTAGTTACAATAGTATAGAAAAGCACTCAGAGAGCGCAGACCTCCGCCAAGGACTACCCCCATTTTTTATATAAATTGCGATAAAATCAGTCTTCTGGATCAGATCCGGATCAGCCTTTGGAATATGAAAGAGGATCCCATTGTCCATCCCTGAGTCAAATTTCATGGGGTTTGGTCAATAATTAACCAAGATATTGAGAAACAAAATTTTTGGCCCCATTTACCACAATGTTAACTAAAATTTCAAAGTGATCCAGAATCCAGGATTTCTTCCGGATCACCTCCAAAATTAAATCACAATTCACATTTCCAACAAATCCTGAAAATTTCATCAAAATCGGTTCATAACTTTTTGAGTTATGTTGCTAACAGACAAACAAACAAACAAACAAACAAACAAACAGACAAACGCCGGCAAAAACATAACCTCCTTGGCGGAGGTAATAATAGTTGTTTCTCTTTATTTTTGGTTGCATATTTGTAATCTCCTGATGGTCTTGAACTATGGGTTGCAATCCTGAAATTTCCAAATTGTGGGACAAATAAAGGACTCAAATGGCAATATTAAACAAAAAGTAATATAGAAAACTGATTTACGGATGCTTTTTCAGTAATCTAATGAATTATCCAAAAGTACTGGACACTGACATATAGTTAATGAAACAAGACTATATATTAACTAACTAACTAAAATAAATAAATAAATACATTTCTTTATTGTTTTGTGTGTTTATTTCACTTTACACAAAGGCTTTGTGAAAACTCACCACTTTGAAATTCCACTCCATTCTTGATCTGCCAGGAGATGCCTGGTGCTTCATCATTCGCAGCAGCTGTACATCTGATGACAAGCCACTCATTATGGGTTGTAAACTCAATTCGCGGCCGGCCTATAATAAGAAACATGATGAGAAATAATGACAACATTTGACAATTTGACCTCTGTTTCATCATACTGGCAATGAACATATTACAAAATTAAAAGTAAATACAACAACAACAGAAAGGAGTGGGCCATTCAAGCTGTACTCATTGCACAGTTTTATGTATTTGTATTACCTAATTAATGTATTGAGATAATGTTTGATTTCAAAGAGACCATTCTAGTTTATGAATGTGATATTTGCCCAGTACAATTACTAATTTAGCATTTATTTGTGATACTGTTTACTTTTTCTTCGGAATATATGAAAAAAATACATGTAGAAGCAGGCTACAGCTTTTTTCCTATGGTTTCTTTATCAATTTTCTGTTAATGAGATGTTCAGCCCCCATTCAAAACAATATAAAAATGTAATCTAAATATAGAAAACCACTGACCTATCACTGTAATGTGCACTTTCTTTTCTACAGCTTGGGGGAGGTAATGGGTGCAGGTGTATATCCCTCCATCGCTGAAAGTAACATTGGAAATTCTGATTTGGAATTCAGACTCGGACAGCTTCTGGACTCTGTAGCGTTTATCTTTCACACCTGTAAAGTAAAAACAAAAACAAAACAAAAAAAACAACGTTAAAAAGGATCATTTGGACTTTGTTGCACACAAAACAGACTGCATCATTTTCACCTTGAAGCATGTTGAAGAACATAATATTACCATCAGGATTCCTCCACTCGGCGGGGTAATCATCGGGCTGGCTTTTGAGTGGGCAGCTTAGGTGTAGTGTGTGACCTTTTATCACGGTCAGATGTTTCCAAACGGCAAGAGACACTGAGGAAAACAGAAATGTAAAATGTTTAAAAACACTGAAGTACAGATATTACAATATTCACACTCCTCAAAACTAGGAATGTCACAGTACGACATTTATTGTGATTTTTGTGAAGGCTAACAAAATTGTGAATAGTTTCTTTTTTAAATGCCTTGACAAGACTTTGGTTTGGTCATTATCTATTACATTCAAAAATGGTTAGTAACAATTATTTCTTCATGTATTCTGCACTTAAACAGAACATTGTTTTACATAACAATGATTTTAAGCAAAGAGACTTGTTGTTCAATATATTGTGAGACTTCTGACAATACAATATTACAATATTTTGGTTATTGTTACATCTCTACTCAAAAGAATGGCTACTCTGTTCCCACTACTTGTATGACAGCCACCTCATACATTTCTCACACTCACATTGTCCTTAATCTCAATTATACAGGGGTGGTAAAACTAAATCACATTTACTCAACTAACTTTTGTACTTGTGCTTTTCAGGGTATTTTTATAGCAGCATGCTTTTAATTCTTCTTTAGTAATACTTTTACTGAAGTAATAGTAGTAAAAGTTTTGGTTACTCTTCCCACTGTGAGTAAGTTTACAAGTGACAAAAGCGTCATGTTGATAATATTACATTTGAATAGTTTTCTCATTTAAAATACTCTCTTTTACAATACCAGATTATTTTAATATTCTGTCTTTCAAATTACGTTAACTTTAAAATATAAATCATATCTTAAACATCCTGACAGTACACTTTTTGGCTGCTCGTCCAAGAAGAAGAAGCCTCAATCCAATCCTGGGCCCCTAAAACCCTGGTGCCTGGGACAACAGACCCCTTTGTCCCCCACCCTACCTACTCCCCTGACTCTGTCCGCCTCGGCACTTAAACTATTCATCTTGAGAGAAACACCTTGCCTAATTTGAATGTAGTGTGCGTGTGAGTGACTGGTTGTGGGCTAGATGGTGCAGATTGGCAGCCTCACTATCAGTTTACCCCAGGGCAGTTGTGGCTTCAATCTTAGTTTACCTGCAGTGTGAAGTGAGTGAGTAATACAGCTAGTGCGTTAAGAGGATGAAAAGTGCATTACAAGTGATTAATATTTGTTTTTATGTCAAGTAATAGTTTTAGAAAGTGCACAAGTTTGCCCTCAGACCAGAAAAAAAATTAACATGTACTGCAGTAGCACAAACAGGGAGCAGATAAATGTCAAAAATAGTAACACACATTTAAAAAGTCGTATATTACACAAAACTCAATCTTGTAAACTTTTAGCCATGTTATACACAACTTCAGGTATGTTTTTGATGAGGAAACAACATTATAATTGCACATGTGGGTCCCCTTTGCCTCTCAAGGGAAAGGCAACCAAAAGCACCAAAGATGACCACTCAAAACTGTTAAGAGGTTAAGGTACAAAATGACTCATCAATTCCTACCACTACAAATGGCTTATATAAAAAAAGTGAAAGGAACATAAAGCCCCCCTCCATATTGTATCAAGCGTGTGAAAGGAAACTATGTGGTCAGCTTCAGCCTGACAGAAAAAAATGGGGGTGACATAAACTGCTCTGGTTTGGTCGTTTTCCTATGGGGGCATCTTGACACCGGTAAATAAAATTACACTTTTCACACAGGTGGGTGGACTAGATACTGAACTTTACATTGTGTGAAATAAAAATACCACTGCTGGAAATGCCTAAAATGACACAATAAATCATGTCTGCTTAAAGGGCACATATTACACTATTGTCTTTTTTTTAACACTACAACCCAGCATATTTGGGCTGTGTTCTTCTTTCAAACAGAACATACACCTTGTGATGTCACTGTGTACTCTACTCTGAATCATCTGGATAATTTCAGATCTGGAATTGCCTATCTCTACAGAACAAAACTACACTTTATGACATCACGAAGTGCAACAGAGCATTTTGAGCTTTGGAGATGTAGTCAAACTAAATATGTGTGAATGAAACAAAACGTAAAGGTATGTTTGTATACTGAGTAAACATTTCATAATTATGAATTGTATATATAATTTTCATTTCTATGTGATAAATAGGAGACAACATGCTTGGAATTTTCATTAAGCTAAAAATATATTCACATGTGGAGTGACTAATTATGCATTATCGTGGATTTACCATACAATACTGTACAACTATAGGATATGTTAAATATGTCAAAAGTGGTTCAATATCTAATTTAGAATCACAAATATCACAGAATTACATAACTTCAGTAACAAGTACAAAGGTGTAATCAATGGTATGTAATTAGCCTTATCAATTTTTAAATGTTACTCAATAAATTATGAGAATATTATTCTGTATTTAGGAAGGGACTCAGTGATTAAAGCCCACCAACCCGAGAATCAGCAATCCGAATCCCCGCTTCAACCAATGGATATATTGTTGTTGTGTCCCTGACCAAGACACTTCAATTACCTTGCCTAGTATCAGTGTTATGTGTGATTAATTGGTGAAGGTGGTCGGACTGGCAGCCTCACTTCCATCTGTATACCCCAGGGCAGCTGTGGCTATAGAGATGACCGCCACCAAGAATCAAGTGAATTAAAATGTAAGACTAATCAGACTACAGTGTGGTGCTGTCACATGATTTTTTTAAGACCATAAAGCACAATATGTGAGGCATTATTAGGATAATATTATTTTAACTGTTTATTGTTAATCACAGACTTATAATTAATCCATGTCTGTGGTTTTCAGATTCCAGTATGTGATGGTTATATTATGTTCAATGTTGATGAAATGATCCCAGACGGGAGACAAGAGACACATTTCCAGATTGATCGTCTTCATTGTACATTGTACACTGAACATTGTACTTTGTCATGAAATATCTAGAAATGTAAATGCACAAATAATGATGATTTCTATTTTTGACAAGACCAAAGAACTCACTGCATTACAACAAAAACAGCATTTTACCAATATTAATTTTAGCTGTCTCCCGTCTGTATTAAACCCTATATCAAATGTAATGATGTCATCTGAAACACAACAATTAATAAATAGTGTTGATGAGGAGCACTCACCCTGTAGCTGTAGCACGAGGACACAGAACTGCAGTTTCCTCTCCATCTCACTGGTACACAGACAAATATGAGTCTGTAGTTCCTCTTCTCTTCACTTTTAAATGTGCACCGCCGTGTCGTGGACAGGCACTTCCGTGACATCACGGCCATGTGGTTTCCACAGTTTCGCTTCTTCTGACTCCTACAAAACAACAAGGGGTCAAAATGTCATTGTTCATTATCTTTTTATAAGACTTTTCTTTGAAATCATGTGAAAAATCTGATTGTGAAGTTGAAAAGTTTTTGGTGTTTTGTTCATTGTAGGAAGTAATAATGCATGCTACACTGAAAGCACTATGTTCATGGAAGAATTTATGAAGATCTTGAAGTTGAATTGAAGCATTATATTTTGAAGAATTTATCACAAGAGTAAATTATCAGTTGTTGGGGTTCAGATTCAGTTATGCTTTTTGCCCCTGTACGGATATTTGTCCTCTGCATTTGACTCATCCTGCCACAGTGCCCAGGGACCCATCTCCAGATCTTGAGCTAGGCTTAGTCAGGACTATTTCAGCTGGAGGATTTTACCTATGGGGCATGTTTTGGGTTGATGGAGAAACTGGAGTGCCCAGAAGACACCCTCCTAGAAACAGTGAGAAACAAGAAAACCCCACACAGAAAGTCCAAGGTGGCCAAGAGACATACCAGGAACTTTCTTGCTGTGAGGCAAACATGCTACATGCACTGTGTGTGTCCATTGTGTTGTTTATCAAACAGACTACTGTCTAACACGAATCACTTAAAATGATGCTACTGCTAGGCCTAATGTGAAATGAAAGTGAGAGGATCCAGCCAACTGTGCCTGTAGTAACATGACCTCTTCACTACGTGCCAAAGTACAAGTCAAATACTTAGTTGATATGATCCACACCTTAAGAAAACAGGTTGTCACTCACAGTTATTATAAAATGACTCTGCAATCACTCAGAAGAGAGCCATGTCAATAGTTCCTGTGACTTTCATAGTCACACAAAGATTACATATGCATAAACTCAGTAGTCTGTCTCAGGAAAATCTATAGGTCTGCATGTTTAAGGCTATATAATAAATTGCATGCACTTGACCTATCTGTCCTCAAATGATAAACATGTTCAAAAGTGCTTTACTGAAAACAATTCTAACCCTTATTTATTTATTATTACAAAAACATTAGACATGATGGGCTATGTATGTTATAATTTGGTATTTTGGTTCTAAAGATGATAATCCAGAGAGAAGAGTGAGCCTCACGTGAGTCTCTTATTTGGGGTGCCAGTTTCAATTCAGAAATCCTGCTAGTTTAAACCTAAAATGGCTTTCTCTGATCTGAATGGCTGCTAAACCCCAGCACATGCAGCCAATCATGAATCAGTGTTAGTGCAGCCTCTGCAGCTATAGTGAGGGAATTCTGGAGGTTCTGAGCTTTCACATGAGGCCCTGCCATCCATATTATGACAAAAACTTGTATGTGTCTTCTATATGGAGGTTTAGGCATTGGAGATTGTAATACTTTTTTAAAACTATAATTCCTTAAAATTGCAGTTGTACAAACAAAAAGGCTTGGGCACTACAGTCTCTAATACTATATTATATTTATTATATTATATTATATTATATTAAATACTGAATTTTACTGCTTTATACTGTAAGCTGACTTTGACCAGGTGGTGTCACATACTTGCTACCACTGATATAACTTAGATAAGCTTAATGTCATAAAGTGGTATATTCCAGGTAAAGCAATAACATCTCCAAGACAAGCAGATGGCAGACCCTTCACCAGAAATGTTAACCTACATGCAGTGCCCCTTTAAATGATCGGCAACATAACAGCACTAAGTCTACGATATTATTCCAAACAGCAATAGTACATGCCTCATGCAGCTGATGGAAAGCCCTAGAACTTCCAGCTCCTTCTGACATCAGCTCCACTCAGGAAGACCGCAGAGCTCTGAGCCAATCCCTGCGCGCAGATTTGATCCAGAAAGTGCTAGAAGCGCAGCGGCCCGCCCGCCCTGCGCGCTGATTGGCTGAAGCGCGCTGGCTTTTGGCACGACTCTACTCATAATCCGCTATTTTTCTCTGCGTTTTCATATTATTCCTAGACACAAGAGAGGCGTGTTGGCTTGTGAAATCGGGACAAGCGACGTTTACCAGGTAGGAATCACATTAGTATACGTTTATATTGTTAGCATTTAGGATTGTCGGCTATAGTTAAAAAATACGCGTTTTATCCTCGTGGGCGCCTTGTTATCATACAGCATTTCTGAGAGAAGTTTCTAGAAGTCTGCTATGAGGGTTGATACCTAAAATACGAATATATTTCTCAAACCATATGGACTGTTTAGGATTTACAGAGTAGTGATCCGGGAATTAGCACATAAATAGCATCATACAGCAGGATGGATTTTGCAAACTGCTTATGGGGAAGGATCTGGACTGCAGACGTTTCCTTGGGCTTAAATCACAATGACATGTGCTTATATAAAATGGTACAGGGCGTTCTATTTTTGTATTATTTTTTTTTATTTAAATGTTTAGTTTTTGCATTTTAGCAACAATAGTGCACTATATTACATAAAGCTTTTGCAACACTTTTATTTTGATCTTAAGAATATTGCATAACTAAGGACGTGTACAAAAATATGCCATGATATTTAATGTTTAACCAATAAGGAAATGTATGTTATAAAAGAGATGAAGAATTATATAACCAAAGATGGAACGTGCATGATTGCTTTATGATCTTCCTTTCTCCATTCAGATAAACCATGTCTAAGGGAGCTGCAGTTGGCATTGATCTGGGCACCACCTACTCCTGCGTGGGGGTCTTCCAGCATGGCAAAGTGGAAATCATTGCCAACGACCAGGGCAACAGGACCACACCCAGCTATGTGGCCTTCACAGACACAGAGAGGCTGATCGGAGACGCAGCCAAGAATCAAGTTGCTATGAACCCCACAAACACTGTCTTTGGTAAGGATTACAATTGTGTCATCTGATAGTCAGCATTAATTATACATGCATGTTTTTGTGGTGGCATACAGAACCCGCTGATTCATGTTTTTTTGCTATATAATTTCACGATTTAAGGCTGATCTAAGGTGGCTTCTATAATATTTGTACTTGTTTTGGGATATTTAACTCATCATTTAATTTCTGTTTTCACTATTTACATCTTATCTTCTTCAATATTATGTTTTAACATACCCAGACTTGTTTTGTTTCATTCATTCATGTGTTTGAATAATCCTTTATTATTAGTCTGAAAATATCTCCAAAGCTCAAAATGGTCTTTTCCACCTTTGTGATGGTATGTGGTTATTCTAGTGAGGTTGTATGGAGTTTAAAAAACACAGTGGAGCATTTCCTGTATCCACATGACATCACAAGGTGGAACAGAGAGAAAAGAACTCGGCCTGAATTTGCAAGATTTGTGTGTTTCTCTAGACTTTATCATAGAAATTAACTGTGATTCTGTGTGTCTGTATGTATATTGTAATATATCTCCAGCGATATATGGTCCAGCTCTATTCATAATACACACTTATTTTCCCATTTCCAGATGCTAAGCGTTTGATTGGCCGACGTTTTGAAGACCCCGTTGTTCAGTCTGATATGAAGCACTGGCCTTTTACCATCATCAGTGACAGTGGACGCCCCAAAATGCAGGTGGAGTACAAAGGTGACACAAAAACATTCTACCCAGAGGAGATTTCTTCCATGGTGCTGACAAAGATGAAGGAGATTGCAGAAGCTTATCTCGGAAAAGTAAGTAGACTAAATAGAGTTTTATTGCACAATAATTGACCTCAATACATATTTGATTTGATAAATAGCTAATAATTCCTTAATTCTTCATTTTCTAGTCTGTGTCCAATGCCGTTATCACTGTACCTGCCTACTTCAATGACTCCCAGCGTCAGGCTACAAAGGACGCTGGCACCATCTCTGGCCTTAATGTCCTTCGTATCATCAATGAGCCCACTGCTGCAGCTATTGCTTATGGCCTGGACAAGAAGGTAACAGTCCTGAATAAAGAAGTGCAGTATTCTTTATAGTGTATTGTTAAAACTTTATATTAACCACACCTTAATTAGCCATGAACAAAGACTTTACTTATAATGAACAAATGAATGATTCAAGCTTAGTAGCTACTTAATTAATACCATAATAATGTACACCTAACCCTTTATTTACCAAGCCTAATTTATTATCCATTTGTCGATTATGAAGTCAGTGTTTGTTCATGCTTAATTAAAGCTGTAAGTAATGTAGTTACTAAGTTGTGTAGTTTCAAATTCTCATTATAAATGTGTATTAGGTGGGCGCTGAGAGGAACGTGCTGATCTTTGACCTTGGTGGTGGCACTTTCGACGTGTCAATCTTGACCATTGAAGATGGCATTTTTGAGGTCAAATCCACTGCTGGAGACACTCACCTCGGAGGGGAAGACTTCGACAACCGCATGGTCAACCACTTCATTGCGGAGTTCAAGAGAAAGTACAAGAAGGACATCAGCGACAACAAGAGGGCAGTGCGTCGTCTGCGTACAGCCTGTGAGAGGGCGAAGCGTACACTGTCTTCAAGCACCCAGGCCAGTATTGAGATTGACTCCCTGTACGAAGGTGTGGACTTCTACACCTCCATCACTAGGGCTCGCTTCGAGGAGCTCAATGCTGACCTCTTCAGGGGAACCCTGGACCCAGTGGAAAAATCTCTCCGTGACGCCAAGATGGACAAAGCTGCCATCCATGACATCGTGCTGGTCGGAGGCTCCACTCGTATCCCCAAGATCCAGAAACTGCTCCAGGACTTCTTCAATGGGAAGGAACTCAACAAGAGCATCAACCCAGATGAAGCTGTGGCCTACGGAGCAGGTAGGTTAAAGGGGAACTGATGCTGTGCTTGAACTGTGAATGACCAAATGTGTAACGTGGTCTTTGTTTTGTAGCTGTCCAGGCCGCTATCCTCTGCGGGGACAAGTCTGAGAACGTACAGGACCTCCTGCTTCTGGACGTCACCCCACTGTCTCTGGGCATTGAGACCGCTGGAGGAGTCATGACCGTACTGATCAAGCGTAACACCACCATTCCCACCAAGCAGACCCAGACCTTCACCACGTACTCCGACAACCAGCCTGGAGTGCTCATCCAGGTACGGCTCCTCACGCAGTCCAGTGTGCGCTCTCGCAGTGATGACGTTTACTCCAGCCATTCGTAGTTTCCACCAGAGGTCGAAAGGCCAAAGATGGCGCAGCCCTTCCTTGGATGTCTGAGCGAAGAGCTCTCTGCGCACGGACAGAATAAAGTGATCGTGAACTTCTCTAAAATTGTTCTTCTGTTCCACAGGTTTACGAAGGTGAGCGTGCCATGACAAAGGACAACAACTTGCTGGGCAAGTTTGAGCTGACGGGCATCCCACCTGCTCCTCGTGGTGTTCCCCAGATTGAGGTGACCTTTGACATTGATGCCAACGGCATCATGAATGTGTCTGCAGTGGACAAGAGCACCGGAAAGGAGAATAAAATCACAATCACCAATGACAAGGGTTAGTTTATTTCAGTTAGAAGAAGGTAAACTTAAAAATAAAAGGATGCAGTATCTAATATTTATTTTTAAAAACAGGTCGTCTGAGCAAAGAAGACATTGAGCGCATGGTGCAGGAGGCTGAGAAGTACAAGGCAGAAGACGATGTACAGCGTGACAAAGTGGCTGCAAAGAACGGACTGGAGTCGTACGCCTTCAACATGAAGTCCACTGTGGAGGATGAGAAACTGGCCGGTAAGATCAGTGATGAAGACAAACAGAAGATTCTGGACAAGTGCAATGAAGTCATCAGCTGGCTGGACAAGAACCAGGTAAGATCTTAAATACAAAAACATTCCTCAGTCAAAATAAATTCTGAGTATTAATCATCTGTTGTCATTGTGTTACAGACTGCTGAGAAGGATGAATATGAACATCAGCAGAAGGAACTGGAGAAGGTGTGTAACCCCATCATCACTCAGCTGTACCAGAGTGCCGGGGGGATGCCAGGTGGGATGCCAGGTGGAATGCCAGGGGGCTTCCCAGGGGCTGGCGGTGCTCCATCGGGCGGAGGCAACGCTGGACCAACTATTGAGGAAGTGGATTAAGGAGCTCTGTTCTGCTCCATTGTCCTGTTCTAAAATAAGCATGAACATTCACACAGAAATGCAGTCCGTACAAGGTCAGAGTTATAAATGCCCACATGATAAAATACCGTTGGACCACAAACTTATACAACTGAGCACTTTTTTAATTGTTATTTCAGTTCAGTAAGAAGAGAGAAATGTTGTCTTTTTCATTCCATGCTGCTTTTCATTTGAATCTCTGTCATGGTTTTTGTGGACCATGTTTCATTATTTAGCTTTTTTATTTTTGTTTAAAATGTTATATATTTTTATGTTCAAATAAAAGTATGGTATGGTTTTTGTCTGTGTTAATTGATAACTTATCAACAAATGCAACCATAAATTTTGCACAAATAGCCCATTGAGTTGCCATAAAGATATATGAATACAATAATTGCATGCACACAAAATGTAATAAAATGTTATTAACCTATAATTAATCACTGCTATCAGTTCTATTGCCCCCTCTTTGTGCCTCTCGCTGAGCACCTGGATGAAAAACAAAAAATACATTACACGTCAGCGTACTGGTCCTGCATCATAAAATTTATTTAAACCACATCACACAAAATCACAGTAACAACATTTAGCAGCAACGCGAAACAAAAACCCCTCCATCACCAGATTTTGGTCCAGATTCCGTGTGAATCGTTTTTCTTTTGAGGAGACCGACTCCATCTTCCGAAGGAGAGGCGACTGAGCTGCCTGCGAACAGTCCCAACAAACGGGATTATGTTCCAAATTGTAGATAGTTTTGTCCATGAATTAAACTCTGTGGATCTGATGAAGGGGTAGATATGTCCAGTATTTCACCTGTATCAGGCTTTACTTGCTCTTGGCCGGTTTCTCGGTTTTCTTGGGCAGCAGAACAGCCTGGATGTTGGGCAGTACGCCTCCCTGGGCGATGGTCACACCCCCGAGCAGTTTGTTGAGCTCCTCGTCGTTACGCACGGCCAGCTGCAGGTGACGGGGAATGATCCTGGTCTTCTTGTTGTCTCTAGCCGCGTTTCCCGCCAGCTCCAGGATCTCAGCGGTCAGATACTCGAGTACAGCCGCCAGATAGACCGGAGCTCCGGCGCCCACACGCTCCGCATAGTTGCCTTTGCGCAGCAGCCTGTGCACTCGGCCCACGGGGAACTGGAGCCCAGCTCGGGACGAACGAGACTTGGCCTTTGCGCGGGCTTTACCTCCGGTTTTCCCTCGGCCAGACATTATGGTCACAGTGATGTTAAATACAGTACAAATGCTGTGAGCCTTCAGGTGGATTCAGAGATTCACGTGATGACATCAAAGGGAGAGGATATTACGCACGCATCCTGCTCTGATTGGTGCGTTTAGCGTAAAAGAGACGCACCAATGGGATAGTGCGTCCTTGTACCTCGACTTTCTTCTGGAAATCCGTCCTCCAATAGTGCAGAAGGAACAGCACACTGTAATTTGCATTGCCATCTTATAAATACACGTGTGTGAGATAATGAATTTTGTGCCTAGAGACAGTAAATGGAAAAAGAGAACAGAAGAACAAAGTATAAAAAAGGAAATTAACTGACAATGAATCCAATCTATATTTTATGTTTGAAAGGGAAAGATCTTATGGTACAGTGTTGAACCAACAAACAGTCTCATCTTTGAGGTCTTAGGACTTAGAAAGTTCAAACTCACTTATTTCATTATTTGGCCCTCTGTGAGTTCACAACATAAACTACCAATCACCACGTATTACCATTTTTTTCCCCAAATCGTACTAACATTAAGTTATTGCAATCACCTAAGCAAACATATAAGCAAACATTTCTATTTATCCCCTTCAAGTTCATTTGAACTTAAAAGCAGTGTTTTGTGTAGCTATAAAGGCAAATGGTAGGCTGTATTTCTGTACATGACATATCAACAAAGAGGAATTACCCATTTGATATCAGGTAGATCAAGTTCGACAACGAGGAATGACTGTGTACAATATAAACATTAAAGTGTTTTAAGGTGTTTTAGGTGAGAAACAAGAGTGGATGTTTTGTTTTTTTTCATATCAAGTCTGAAATAAAGACCAAGCATTGAGTTGCACTAGTTTATTGTGCTTAAATTGCCCCACGGGAACAAATAAAGTGATACTGATTGCCTGATTGATTGATTGATTCTGCTGTAAATCTCAGAATATTCTTTGATATATACTATTACGCTGTATTATGTAATACAATGTGTAGCCTATTTATGAGATATTTTGTTTGTATTCTATAGGACAGAGTACCGGGAGAGAGTGATAGAGATACAGATATAGCCATGTACTGTACTTTTCAGAGGCCTTTTTGTCTCTATCAAAGGTTTCAGGACTGGTCAGGTAGGGTCAGCAGATCTGTGTCAGAACAGTTTGAGGAGAGAAAGAGCCCCCAGGACAAAAGTGTCTCTCCTCTGTGGCCTGAAGCCTGCAAGGGGAACCAGCTGAATTCTGTAGACAGGAAAGCCTCCTCTAAGATTCATTCTGCTCTGTTGTTGTGGTTGTTGATGAAATGGTCCAACCTTTGAACCTGGAACCTTTGGTCCTCTGGAAGATCACTGATTATTTTCTCTGAAAGGTCTTCTACCACATTTGCTGCCACAAGTGGTGTCAAAAGCACAGCTAGCTCCTTAAATACAAAATACAAACAGCTAATTTGACACAATTAATTAATGCTACAAGATTTGTAACTTTGTGATCTTTGAGGGCCATCCATGTAACCCATTACAGGTAATAATAGTGGTTCTCAGTTTTTGTTCCTTGAGGGGACTGAGGACATGTGAGGTTCAGGTGACGTTGTTGGTGTAGGACGTTTTGTTCATCAGGGTGTCACTAGCTCTGGGAGTCTGAGATGCTGTATATGGGAGACCTAATTTCTCCACAAAAGGTGCTGCCCCCGGCATAAGAGTGGAGATGAGACAAAGAAGTCATTATTAACAACACCACTCATCCTGAATGGTCTTAAGCACACAGCCAACACAAAACTATTACAATGAAGAGGATGTCATACCATACCATAACACTAGTTCTTTTTTTGATGTATTAATTCTTTTTTACAGTATCAGCTTTAAATGGCTAAATAACTAGTATGCCTTAACTATTGTTTCTGCTGTATAAATTTACCAATAAACTGTGTATGCCCAGATCATTTTGATGAATACAGGTTAAAGCAAAAATGTGGTCAAGATGCATCAATTCAGCCAGAGAACATGCTAATGTTTACATCCTTATAATTTGTCTTTTAGATTTTACATCAGATGCTCTTCTTGGCCTGGCCCTTTCTTATATCTGCCTTAAAATACAAACAGAACTAATACAACTAAAACAATTCAAAAGAAAATATACTAACCTGTGAATGGTGAAAAGTCCTCAAATGCTACAGCAGTAGTAGTACTATTCAAGGAGAGAAAAGGTGAAGTAGAAAATGGGATTAAGAATGTATTTTACGATCATTTGTTTATTTGTTGGTGGAAATGCACACCTTTGAAATGATAATACAACACATAATTTTAACAATGACTACAAAAATATATATGTAATATATATGTGAACTACAGCTTTAATGTGCACCTTGCATTGTGGAGGGTCTGACAGGTGATATGAGTGATATGGACCCTGCATAGACAGCCTCTGTAAACTCTCTCTCCTCTCTCAGGCCTTGGGTTCACTTTTTTTTAAAAGATGTAAATGAGGTCAGTATAAAAGAGGGGACAGCTGATGCTAAGAGCAGAGAGGGGCCGGCCACCAGGGAACACTGAACCATGACTATGGCCAACAAGAGGTAAGTTATATTGTTGATAATATCATTATAGTGTTTATATGTATGTCTCTATCTATTATTAGTATTATATGTGCATGTTTGATTGACTTAAAAATATAAATAAGAAATAATGAATATATATATATATATATATATATATATATATATATATATATATATATATATATATATATATATATATATATATAATATATATATATATATATATATATATATTTGACTAATTAAGTAGTAATGGTAGTAGTTAATTAATAATCATTGTGGTAGCAATATGTATGTTTGATTAACTTAAAAATATAAATAATTTGACTGACTTAAAAAAAAAAACATAAAAAAAAGAATTATAATACAGTGAGCTTCATTCATAAAACATATTTGACTTATTCAGTATTTAATTAATTAAAGCTGCACTGTGTAACTTTTTTGTTCAGGGTCAGCACCTGCTTGTCTACATAGAAATGTAGACAAGACAGAAAAATAATGCTTTTTTTGTCTTTGTTTTAGAATTATTAAGATGGTGTGGCAGGCTGTTCTTTTTTACCAGTTTGCCAGAATAGTTCTTGCCCAGTCAAATACTAGGTGCTTTGGAGATTCAACTTTCAGAGCTCCAGGTGAGTAACATCAGATGCTTTCTTTGTTCATCTTTTTATCCTTCTCACCCACTCTCCCATT